ACACAACAAAGAAGTCTCAACAATTGCACCTGTAGGTTCAACACCTATGACAGCCGGAAGAACATCAGTAACTCCGAGCGGAATCATTGTCAACACTTCTTCGAGTTCTTCATATATAGAAGAACAGAGGCAGAAACTTCTTGGATGCCAAGACAAGACAGTTCGTTTTGGGCAAACAACTCAAAATATGAACACCTCTCCAATACCAGGCGCTGTAAATGAATTGGAAAACGTATAAAACTTCTAAAAATAAGTACCACCATTACCGTTTCCCTACCACCAAATAGTCTATGTAGTCTAGATCAGATTAAACTACAACCTCAACGTGTTATTGTTACAATTATTTATATATTTAAAAGTATTTGCTATATCTCTTTAACTGTACGTGTTGTTAGAAAGTGAATATATAATTGAAATCAAAATAACCACGCAGAAGCTACTTTTATAAATGTAAAGATTTTCTCTCATTACCATCCAAGGACAAACACTATATGAGCCGTGTCACGACAAAAGCAACATAATGAGTTTGCGACAAGCATGGATCCAGACCAGCCTGTCCAGATGCGCAGTCTGGTCTGGATCCATGCTGGTCGCAAAAGCATTTCGTTGGTTTTCTCGCGACGCGGCTCATATGTTTTTATGTAGATTGTTTTAGTCTGACATTTTAAGTTTTGGATAGGAATGGCTCACCTTTGTGCACTCCGATTCGGGATATTGTGTTGTCAAAGAAACAAACGTCATCATACGTCAATCGTGATATTCTCAAATATCATGTCAGTACTTTCAATAACTTACGTACTCATTCTCACTTTAGTACGTCATCCCGTGTCTTCAATATTCTATGACATTTTGTGGAAACATTTAAGTCCGAACATTCCTGTAAAATGTTTTGAGATCTTGTACAGTGTTTATAAAGTAATCTGATCACAAATTGAATAGCATCTTAAGTGATGTGGCTTTGCTAGTGACAGTCGCTTTCGCATGGAAGATGTAATAAAAACAGCAATTCTTCAAATAATTCGAAGTGTATTTCACTGAAAGTATTTTCTTACAATGAATCGTGATTAACAGTAAAAACACCTTTATCGTCATTCTATTGCATTAATGCCATATATACGAAACAACAATTTGCTCAAAATCAAATGTTAATTTTTTGTCACCAGAGTCGGCATCATTTACTAGTTTGCATTGAAAAACATTGTTTATCAAACATGGTAACCTGTTATTGGCTTATACAATAATACTTGTATCATAGTTTGGGGACCTTTCTTAGAGTTATATAGTATACATACATGCACCGTGCGTTAACTGGAGTGCAGGTATTAGTTACCTCCACTAGAGAACATGCCCATTGAGTGGCTCATTTATGCTGGGGTTTACTTATTGTGACGGCAGACAAAGGGAAAGCGACAGAAATATCATATTTAGATGCTCGTTCATTGGTTACTTTTCTCCGGCGTTTCATATTGTGCCAACAGTAGTTTTTGACTATGATACAAAAGGGAAAGAACATCAACACATTTGGCAATCTGATTAATACTCGGGGGCTACGCCGCCTAGTACAAATCAGATAGCCCCGTGTTTCGATGCTCTTTCTATTACAAGAACATCAAAAACACTCGGCAATCTGATTTATACTCGGGGGCTACGCCCCTTCGTACAAATCAGATACCCCTCTTTCTCTTGAAATAAGTTAAGCACATCCCGGAAATTTAAATTTGGTTGTGATTGAAAGCACTGTCATGCGGTGACGACTGAATTGAGCTAAAAAGCAGTGATTTCATAAGTAGCAATACCAATTTAGTAAATTTATGAGTGTATAGTTTATTCTTAACCAAATCATTGAAGCATAAGCAAATGTGTTGGGTTTTTTTTGTTTTGTTTTTTTTTTACAAAAATGTATGGTGTTGGAAAAAGAACTGGTGGATATTTTTGGTAAATATTGACGATTATGTTACATAAAATGACATTATGTAGATAATTTTTAATAACGTGTGTAACCGCCACGTGCCGGGATGATAGCCTCAACCTTTCTCCTCATACTACCAGTATGACGCCTTATGCAATTTTGAGATAAAGTTTGTCATTCTTGATGCAGAGCTTGTTGCAGGTTGAATGCAGGTGGTTCACATCATTGCCCAAATGAAATTTTTAATTTCAGTTGTGGTGATGTCAATATAATAATTATTATAATTATATACAAGCACTTTAACATGCGATTAACCAAAACTTTGGAAAATTATATATCTGAAATGTGTTTGATACTTGAAACCTTAAGTTACGTATTCAAGAAAGTTTTTTTTCTTCAATTTTTGAATTTGTGAAAAAATGTCATGGTTTACTGAGAATGAGTGTTCAAAATCTCGGATTGGTACAGAGACGGAAAATTAATATCTCTTGCGTTATTCCACACAAAGTCCATGTTGAAGGGTATGGAAGGGTATTAACGAAAAACATTACATCTTGCCTTCTTACGTTACATCGTGCTTTCAGACTTGTACATCTTGGATTCTTACTATTACATTTTGCATTATGACATGCACACAATGCATTCTGGCTTGCACATCTTGCATTATGAATTTATGACTTATATCAGACCAGTTCTCTAACCTGGGTTAGTGTTTGTTAAGTTAGCATTAACGAAACTAAGTCTGTCAAGAACGGCACAGCTGCTCTGCATATTAAATGGAATTAATCCTGACTTGCCTATATTTAATGATCCTGGTCAGAGAACAGGTCTGCATCATGGAATATGTGTGGAACAACGCAAAGAATATTTATTTTTCGTCACCCATTCACCCCTAACGTCAAAATATTTCAATAAAATCAAACTTGAGAAATATGTAATCAGATTTTAGGAAAAGTAAAATGATGCAAGGTTCAAGTAATATTTTATATGTTATGTGCGGTTAATGACTGATTTTTCGGTATTTACAAGTATATTTCCACTGCGTTACTAACGCAGTAAGGGCTATTTATGCATGTTTTGGCCACCTTTTGGTAATTTACGTGGGTTGTAAGTGCCACTGATAATGTGTAAATTACTTCCTTTTGGTTATTTCACAATATTAGACATTTGAATACATTTTCAAAATTTTCATGAAAATTAGCATGAATCTGGGGGCGTGCTGCTTTAATGATAATATAGTGCCGAGTCTGTATATGTTTAAAAAATTATATATATACATATACATGTTTATGGTTTAAATCAAATTCGTCAATTTTACAGTGTTATTAAGTGGTGATATCTAGGTAGAGGGTTGTTTTGTTCAATTATGACGACAATATTTACTAATAACTGTCACAGTGCAGTGGCGAAACTGTGCTCTATTTAATTCAATGTGGCTTACTGCGGTTATCCGGAGTGAAAACTAACACCATCATCCCACAAGTCTTTTGTAACACCATCGCGAGGAATAGTGTGATTATCATAGTTTGCTTTTATACTATTGAATATCCAGTAAAGTACACGTAATGCGGGAAAATCTAATGGCCGAACCCCGAGCAACGGGAGTCAGACACATTTCCAAGGCCAGCTACATTGACCTTGCAGTGCTGGGAAAGACAAAAGGTTAAAAATGGCTCACATACTCCGCTTTCATAGGCATTCCAAAAGGGCTGGTGACAGGGTTACACATGACTGGAACAGATAATTATTGTAGTTGTCGTTGTCCTTCTGTATAATATGTCGAACTAAGCATATCCGCATATTTTCCTTAGCATACAATAACTCAAATTGTTTCTTCCCTTACAAAACATAATATTATAGTAATCACGAAAAGGAAAACACTGCTATAAGGGATTAACACACAACTTTCTTTATTACTAAATAACGTTTTTTGTTGAACAGCAAATAACAGTAAATAAATCAACAAATATTACAATAAAAGAATACAATTATGACTATAGCTAAATAAACAAAAATAGGAGATCATATTGTTCATTTCAACTACTGAATTCAATACTATTTTACATAATGAGAAGTATAATATCTAAATTTTAACATAATGTTTTTCATAAGAGTAAGATAGTTTTATAATAGATTTTTTTATCACAACTATTCATTAATCTGTCAAGTTTAAAAATATTGGGATGAATATAAAAACTTGGTACAGTGGAACCTGTCTTATCCGAACTCGTCCGGACCAGAAGAAAAGTTCGGTTTAGAAAGGTTTCCGGATTAGAAAGGTTTACGGATAAGAAGGTTGTTTTACATGTTTGTTCATGTTATTAGCAGAATAGTTTAAGGAAAGAAAACAAACGGGAATGCATTTGAAATTGCAATAAAATTATTTATTTTTGCAATCTCTTATCGTTCATTTTAATACATGTGCATACAAAAATAAATAGATAAATAAAAATAAATAAGCAAAACTGTTATATTCTCAAGGGTAAGTTAATCTACGATGTTAAACAGAAGGCTGAGACATGATTAAATATTCGTACCAGCATTTGTCAATTGTTGTTTACTCTTATCCGATTCAGTGATTATCCGAATTCACTGACAGTTTCCATTAATTTCCATTACTTAATCACATGTCATTAAATTCATTACAAAAGATAAAAAGATATTTCTATTGCATTATATCAAAATATTTATTGAAGGTGACGAAAAACAATCAATTAAGCAATTATAGTAGATATCAAGGCAAGCTAAGTGTAATTTTCACACCTTCGCAGATCATACGTTTCACCCATTAATCAAGCGAAATTACTCTTATCAGTTTGGTGTATGTTTACACCTTCAAGATGTGCGAATTATTTGTTATTTTGAATGTAGGTGTGACATTTGGCAAAATCTGTTCGGATCCGAGAGGTTAATTTTAGAGTAAAATAAGAACAAAAAATGAAAAAATCGTCCGGAATTCGGAGTAGACAGGTTCCGGATCCGAAAGGCTTTTTACTATTGAAAATAGAACAAATAAAATTGGGACCGGACACTTCGTTCGGATAAGAAAGGATTCCGGATTAGAAGGGTTCGGATTAGCAAGGCTCCACTGTACTAAGTAGTGAAAGTCATCTCCAATAGCTTAATACGAACATAAGCACAGGAAACACAATCGCACCTTCTCGGTCATTTCCGCCAGTCTTCGGATAGGTACTATTGTGATTAATAGCCGAGTTGTTTAAAATGAAAGTTCACATCAACTTGCATAAATAAATTATACTTTTTTTTACACAATATCAAGCATGTTACAAAAAACACAATACAAGCATTATAACAGCAAATGTCTGTATTTCCGATGAGTAGTGTAATGACTTGCAACCTAAAAAAAAGAAATAAAAAAAAATATGGAGATGTAGATTATCTATTGCATGCCAAGTGAATTTCAGCTTTTGCACCACGTGATCTTTCAATATAATTCATTAGTGGAGTTTAGCTTAATTTTCATATTCCGACTCTAAGGAATCCATATCAAATCAAATTTGTACCCTAGCTATCTTGACGTCTTTTCCTATACAAGGTGCTAAAACTGACTGACAATGATATTTACAGCGATAGAAATCTTCCTTTTGTACAGTTTTAAGTTGAACATGTATGTCATCACGTTACCCTTATTTCGCATTCTGCCTAAAACATCACGTAGCAAAGTCATGTACATATCTAGATTTGATCAACTTAAAAACTAACAGACAGACATACGGAGAAACAGCCACCGTTGATTCCTTCGTGATCGTAAATGTGTTTGAATTACTTGAGTCTATGCATTTCTTAGCTCCAGCAAGTGACCGGGGTTTATCCAAAATCATCTTTCCCTGTTTTGGTGCCATATGACCGAAATTTTGTTGATGCACCTTTAAACCAAACCAAACAACAATAAGACGGACACACATTTAGTATACCCTTTGTTGTTTTTTGGTGGAAATCTAATACATGCACACATTTAATGTAACACGTCATAATACCTGGGGCGTCCGTGGCCGAGTGGTTAAGGTCGTCGACTTCAAACCACTTGCCCCTCACCGATGTGGGTTCGAATCCCGACAGGGGCTTTGGATTCTTTCATGTGAGGAAGCTATCCAGCTAGCTTACGGAACGTCGGTGGTTCGACTCAGGTGCCCGTTCGTGCACGGAAGGGCACCTGAGGTCTACCTCCACCAGTAAAGCTGGAACGTCGCGATATGACCCATACTGTGTCGATGTGACGTAACCCCTCCCAAAAAAAACAAAAAAAATACAACAACAACAAAAAAAAAACAAACAAACAAAACAAAAATGTCATATACCTGCTGATGTCCTATCCACGACGGCCACGGTAAAATGCCGTATGATCTCGTTCGATACCCAACATTTGTATTTTCCAGCATCTTCTGGCTGCACGTGATTTATGGTCAATTTACTCGTTATCGTATTTGGGGAGAGAATTATAGTAATAATTGTTCTGTTATCAGACTCCACTTTCGTATAACCTTTATGCCACACAACCGTCTTTGGCGGAGATTCCAAATGTGTTGCTTTGCAAGTTAAAGACAATGTATTTCCCAGTTGGACACTTGAAGGTCCGTTGATTTCTATTTCTAGAGAATAAAAAACACAAATTTAATATTGCCTTTATGTTTCAGTGATGACAGCAGGATGGTGTGTTTTAATGCATAGAACATAGCGCAATGAGCGTTCGTGCAAAAACTGAGAAAATGAGAGCGTTACAGCCTATGAAGGTACATACGCCGTGTTTTATAATGTTTTAATAATGTATTTAGACCACGTGAGATACCTACGCCTGAAGAAAATAGTGCTGAATGTGAAATTATTTGTAATAAATGCAACAAAATGTAAACAAAATAATATTTTTACTTCCAAACAAAATACTCAATCGCTAAAACGTATGGTATGAATTGCCAATATAAAATGCAAAAGAAAGGAAATATGACTTAACTATGTGGCCAATGAGTTATTGTAACAGGGCACCAAAAAGAAAAACAGAAAAATGGTTTAATATGAGCCTTTCAATCGTATAATTATAATGTACAATTTTGAGACGTCTTACTTTTGATACGTACTTAATTGTTGATATACATGAACATGTTTGTTTATCCACTTTAAACAAAGGCTTAAATACGATAAAATGATGTTCAAAAAGTTTTTCTAGCGTTTTGTTTGATATTGTAATATTTTGTATGTGATGCCATGTACTTTGTATGATATACGATTTCATGCAATGAAAGTACTGTCCAGTTCATTTAATACGTACACATGACATTTGTATATTAACGTAAAAGTGGCTTCCTTCAATATTTTGCCTATCCCTAAAATATCCAAGAAAACAATAATTTATTGGAAATCAAAGCACAGAAGGCACTGAATTTGTTTGGGTCTCAGAATGTCAGAAAAGTGAAGGTTGTGAGATTATTAACCATTTTTTTTTGTATAGTGTCACCAGTGCTTTCTAGCGTTTTAATTGTAGTAAAATGGCTATAAGACAAATTGCAACACTGATATTCAATTCAATGTTTATTTGACCTAAACAATTTGAAAAAAAATGAGTTGCCTTAATTGGATTTGAACTCCAGACCTCTCGCTTCCTAAGCGAGAGCGCAAACCCCTCGGCCACTGTGAAGTTATATAATAACGGCCTGAAGAAAACCATATTATTCTAAATTAGGGTTTGTAACCCTTATTATTTCGACGCTAACTGTTGTTTAACACAGATGTAAGGCATCATGGAGCTTACTATAAGCATGTATATCTATAAAGAATAAAACAATTTTAGAAATCTTCGATCATTCGGGAAGTATTTTGCTTGAAAATTAATGCGCCTGTCATTTGACCATCTTTACGCAGTGATCTCCCCTGAATGTTTCGGTGTTAATGTAGATATAAAGGGAAGTAACCGCTTCAAAAAAAGCGGAATACTTTCGGCATTTGCAATTAACAACATTAAGGTCTGAAATTTTTGATACCATTATTTGTTTCGACTAACGACCCAAACAAATAAAAACTGATAAGATAATGTTACTCAGATGCTAGTTACAAGTACATCGCAGGGTACGGTTTACGTTGTAAATGTCATTGACATGTTGAAATACAGTCATGATTTATGACGTGCATAGCTAAACATCGTGATAATTATGAATTTATTGAAAAACAACTTCAATTCTAAAAGTATGAATTTATTGAAAAACAACTTCAATTCTAAAAGGACAAAAAAATCATGTTTGGAGCAACGTAGCGAATTAATTCTAACATTTACGGCCTAATTTGAATTTAGTAACTCTTTAGAATCGTCTTAGGATACTTTTGATACCGGTATTAAAATTAAAAAAAAGTCACAGTTTATTCCAGTACACTTGCAGCGTCAACAGTACAGACATTTGATATTTCCTAGTACTCCATGAATCAGCCAGAATTTGTTTTACGCCTATTCATGACAAGGCAAAGAAAAAAGAGTGAATCAAACACACACGCACGCACGCGCGCGCGCACACACACACACACACACACACACACGCACGCACGCACGCACGCACGCACACACACACATATTTATACGTTATAAACTCGATCACTTCCTTTCCTTTTACAGTTGTGTGAGTTTCTAGATTATAAAAACATTTCTTAAAATAAAAAATAAATCACTAAATTATAAAATGTCTGCTAAAAAAATGAATATATAGAGCAATAGAGCGGTCATTCTTAGCAAAATCAGATCAACACTTTATGAGAAGAAAATACCCGCTTACCCCATGATTTTACTCCAATAATAATGCAAATAAAAACTACAATGCACTTCATAACTGTATATAATCTCTCTGTTATATCTTTTTCGTGTTTCACTAACAGATTGTTCAATAAGTTATAAAAACAACAACAAGCATTTTGCATTGGTGCCAAAGACATAGGTGCAATTTGTAATTTTACAGCGCAAGATAATGCATTCACTTACTTTAGATACAACATTCATGAGAATACTCATATATTACTTACACTATTACCTAAAATAATTTTCACAGTATATACACCGTGTATATCCAGTAACGCCGGAATGTAAAAATAACGCACGATTCGTGCAATAAGTAACGCAGATTTTTGCAATAAATGGCTGATACCTGACAGGATTCCCAACGCGGTAAGTAAACTGGCCAATATATTTTTTATTTAACCGATTATTTATATATATAACCACATTCAACAGAATTACTAAAATATGAAGATAAATAAAGTTTCCTTTTAAAAGGAAAGGCTTGCACAGTACGTTGTGCCTTCATCCCAACATATTTATTTGCTTTATTTTTGTAAAAACGAATATTTTTGTCAAAACGATTTGAAATCTATTCTCTATTGTATAAAACTAATAAAGAAAATAATCAATCGTAAAAATACTAACGTGAAGATCTATCATACTGAAAGGAAACAAGTGTGCACATTTCATTTAATTAATAAGCATGTTCCCAGATACGATGCGCTATCTATAAATCATCACGTGGTAAGGTTAATGATATGCATGGGCTATTTTTAGATTACCTCACCAAGTTCAGTAGATCTTAATATAACTCGATCATGCACTGTGTGATTTAGACCACCCTTTTGAAGACGGAATACTACTACAGTCAACATCCTCTATTGTGTAAAACTAATACAGACAAAAAACAATTATAAAAGAAAAAACTAACTTTTGCCTCTTGAAAAAGAATTGAAACGGAACAATTTCGTTTATAATTTATTACGGTTTAAATCAATAAATCAAGTAAAAATACGAATCCTATTTATATAAAACAAACTGGGATTACCGAAGTAACTAAAATAGCTTAGATTTCCGTAAATTACTTCGTCTGATTCCTCAGTATGACGGAATCACCCGAATTGTCCCACGTTTGCAATCGGAAGTACATCGGCTTTTTATCATTAATCCGAAGAAGTGACGGAAAAGGCCGAAAAGTTGCGATTGGCACGATTTCAGCTGGTTTCCCGTTCAATCATGCACTTATAAATGTAAGCAGAAAACCACCTAACCGGAACAGGTTTTCCAAATGAAATGGCTAACACGGCTGCAAGCCAAAAAACGTTTATAAATGTTCATAAAACTTTTGAAACTTCTCCATTATAAATTTGAAATAATGCGGATTCATTTATTTCATTAATTCACAATTTAGCAGCAGTCGTATATATAATTATAACAGTCATGTATAAACATGAAGTTGCAGAAGTCGTGTTTATAGTCGCAGCAATTGTGTATATTGCTCCAGCAGTTATGTCCATGTATTTACATATGTAGAAATCGTTTATACAGCAGCGGTCGTGTTTAAAGTCACAGCAGTCGTATATATAGTTGCAGCAGTCGTGTATATAGTCGCAGCAGTCGTGTAAATAGTCGCAGCTGTAATGTATATAGTTGCTGCAATCGTGTGTATAGTTGCAGCAGTCGTGTATATAGTTGCAGCAGTCGTATATATAGTTGCAGCAGTCGTGTATATAGTTGCAGCAGTCGTGTATAGAGTTGCAGCAGTCGTGTTTATAGATGCAACAGTCGTGTATATAGCTGCAGCAGTCGTGTATATAGTTGCAGCAGTCGTGTATATAGTTGCAGCAGCCGTGTATATAGTTGCAACAGTCATGTATATAGTTGCAGCGGTCGTGTATATTGTTGCAACAGTCGTGTATATAGTTTCAACAGTCGTGTATATAGTTGCAGCAGTCGTGTATATAGTTACAGCAGTCGTGTATATAGTTGCAGCAGTCGTGAATAGAGTTGCAACAGTCGTGTATAGAGTTGCAGCTGTCGTGTATAGAGTTGCAGCAGTCGTGTATATAGTTACAGCAGTCGTGTATATAGTTGCAGCAGTCGTGTATATAGTTGCGGCAGTCGTGTATATAGTTGCAGCAGTCGTGTATAGAGTTTCAGCAGTCGTGTATATAGTTGAAGCAGTCGTGTATATAGTTATAACAGTCGTGTATATAGTCCGCAGCAGTCGTTTATATAGTTGTAGCAGTCTTGAATATAGTCTTAGCAGTGCTATATAGTTGCAAAAGTCGTGTTTATAGTTACAACAGTCGTGTATATAGTTAAAACAGTCGTGTATATAGTTACAACAGTCGTGTATATAGTCGCAGCAGTCGTGTATATAGTTGTAGCAGTCTTGAATATAGTCGTAGCAGTAGTGTATATAGTTGCAACAGTCGTGTATATAGTTACAACAGTCGTGTATATAGTTAAAACAGTCGTGTATATAGTTCAAACAGTCGTGTATATAGTCGCAGCAGTCGTGTTTATAGTTGTAGCAGTCTTGAATATAGTCGTAGCATTAGTGTATATAGTTGTAGCAGTCTTGAATATAGTCGTAGCAGTCGTGTATATAGTTGTAGCAGTCTTGAATATAGTCGTAGCAGTCGTGTATATAGTTACAACAGTCGTGTATATTGTTACATCAGTCGTGTATATAGTCGCAGCAATCGTGTAAATAGTTGTAGCAGTCTTGAATATAGTCGTAGCAGTCGTGTTTATAGTTGTAGCAGTCTTGAATATAGTCGTAGCAGTCGTGTATATAGTTGTAGCAGTCTTGAATATAGTCGTAGCAGTCGTGTTTATAGTTGTAGCAGTCTTGAATATAGTCGTAGCAGTAGTGTATATAGTTGTAGCAGTCTTGAATATAGTCGTAGCAGTCGTGTATATAGTTGCAAAAGTCGTGACGTATATATGTTACAACAGTCGTGTATATAGTTACAACAGTCGTGTATATAGTTACAACAGTCATGTATATAGTTACAACAGTCGTGTATATAGTTACAACAGTCATGTATATATAGTTGTAGCAGTCTTGAATATAGTCGTAGCAGTCGTGTATATAGTTGCAAAAGTCGTGTATATAGTTACAACAGTCGTGTATATAGTTACAACAGTCGTGTATATAGTTACAACAGTCGTGTATATAGTTACAACAGTCGTGTATATAGTTACAACAGTCATGTATATAGTTACAACAGTCGTGTATATAGTTAAATCAGTCATGTATATAGTTACAACAGTCGTGTATATAGTTACAACAGTCGTGTATATAGTTGTAGCAGTCTTGAATATAGTCGTAGCAGTAGTGTATACACTTAACAAAAGTTCTAACCGATCACTTTTTAAATTTTGATTTTTTTATAACGGGTAAATAGATCCTTATAAAATTTTGCAGAGGTGATTTTTGTGTCGTTTTCTACCGATTTGTGGAAAGAAAAATAATTTAATACGGTTCCATGCACTCGCGCGGGAGACAGGGCGCGGTTTACACATTTTCGCACGAAATGTTCGTGCAGAGCGTCGTGAGTATTAAATTTTACATTGCATAAATCCTTGTTAACTTTATAAGTGAAAAAACATAAAACATGGCACGAATGTCGATGCAGGATCGTGCCATAGCAGTTGGAATGTTGAATGCTGGAGCCTCTATTAGACAGGCGAGTGGCTGTTCATAATTTTTTTTTTTTAATATCGATAAAGTATTATTTAAATAGAAAAATGTTATAATTTTATTATTCTGAATGTGTTCATTCTCTTCGAAATAAAATAAAAGTCGGATCTATTGGTTTCAATTATTCTTTTTCATATATAAGCGAAAACTCAGGGTGATCGGTTAGAACTTTTGTTCAGTGTATAGTTGTAGCAGTCTTGAATATAGTTGTAGCAGTCTTGAATATAGTTGTAGCAGTCGTGTATATTGTTGTAGCAGTCTTGAATATAGTCGTAGCAGTCGTGTATATAGTTGTAGCAGTCTTGAATATAGTCGTAGCAGTAGTGTATATAGTTGTAGCAGTCTTGAATATAGTCGTAGCAGTTGTGTATATAGTTGTAGCAGTCTTGAATAAAGTCGTAGCAGTCGTATATATAGTTGTAGCAGTCTTGAATATAGTCGTAGCAGTAGTGTATATAGTTGTAGCAGTCTTGAATATAGTCGTAGCAGTCGTGTATATAGTTGTAGCAGTCCTTGAATATAGTCGCAGCAGTAGTGTAATATAGTTGTAGCAGTCTTGAATATAGTCGTAGCAGTAGTGTATATAGTTGTAGCAGTCTTGAATATAGTCGTAGCAGTAGTGTATATAGTTGTAGCAGTCTTTGAATTAGTCGTAGCAGTCGTGTATATAGTTGTAGCAGTCTTGAATATAGTCTTAGCAGTAGTGTATATAGTTGTAGCAGTCTTGAATATAGTTACAACAGTCGTGTATATAGTTACAACAGTCGTGTATATAGTTGTAGCAGTCTTGAATATAGTCGTAGCAGTCGTGTATATAGTTGTAGCAGTCTTGAATATAGTCTTAGCAGTAGTGTATATAGTTTGTAGCAGTCGTGTATAGAGTCGTTGCAGTCGTGTATATAGTTGTAGCAGTCGTGTATATAGTTGTAGCAGTCTTGAATATAGTCTTTAGCAGTTGTGTATATAGTTGTAGCAGTCGTGTATAGAGTCGTAGCAGTCGTGTATATAGTTACACAACAGTCGTGTATATAGTCGTAGCAGTCGTGTATATAGTTGTAGCAGTCTTGAATATAGTCGTAGCAGTCGTGTATATAGTTGTAGCAGTCTTGAATATAGTCGTAGCAGTCGTGTATATAGTTGTAGCAGTCTTGAATATAGTCGTAGCAGTCGTGTATATAGTTGTAGCAGTCTTGAATATAGTCGCAGCAGTCGTGTTTATAGTTGTAGCAGTCTTGAATATAGTCTTAGCAGTAGTGTATATAGTTACAACAGTCGTGTATATAGCTACAACAGTCATGTATATAGTTAAAACAGTCGTGTATATAGTTACAACAGTCGTGTATATAGTTAAATCAGTCGTGTATATAGTTGTAGCAGTCTTGAATAAAGTCGTAGCAGTCGTGTATACAGTTGCAACAGTCGTGTTTGTCGTTGAGCTGTTTGTTTACCATTGATCCAAAAAATAACTTTTTAGCTTTTTTCTCACCTATGATTTTTTTAATATAAATACTTAATTTCAGAAGGAAAATAGTTATATTGAAAGAATGGAAGCAAGTGTATCTTGCGTACTTTTTTATTATGTACATGCACAAAATAAGCAAACATCTAGTCATGCGTATCAAATAAATGATAAATAAATGAAATATTTAGCACAGAATGTTTACTATTTTTCAATAAGGATGACATGAAAATTTAATATTTATATCCCTTTTCATTGTAATGTAAATTGAAAAAGAAATACCGCTAGGACAGCAATGGCAGTAACACTTGTATCAGGGACACCGCTAGGACAGCAATAGCATCTTAAAAAACGCTAGGGCAGCAATGGCAGTAACATTTGTATCAGAAATACCGCTAGGACAGCAATGGCAGTAACATTTGTATCAGAAATACCGCTAGGACACGTGTGCATCTGACATACCGCCCAGACAGCATGATGGCAGTAACAATTGTATCAGAATACCGCTTGGCCAGCAATGGCAGTAACACATGTATCAGAAATACCGCTAAGACAGCAAAAGCAGTAACATCTGTATCTGAAATACCGCTAGGACAGCAATGGCAGTAACACTACTATCAGAAATACCGCTAGGACAGCAATGGCCGTTTGTTTGTTTTGGGTTTTACTTCACACCGACACAGTGTAGGTCATTTGGCGACGTTCCAGCTTTACTGGTGGAAGAAGACCTCAGGTGCCAATTCGTGCATTATTTCAGGCACGAACGGGCACCTGAGTAGAACCACCGACGTTCCGTAAGCTATCTGGATAGCTTCCTCACATGAAAGAATCCAAAGTCCCTGTCGGGATTCGAACCCACAGCTGTGAGGGGCAAGTGGTTTGAAGTCAACGACCTTAACCACTCGGCCACGGACGCCCCATCAATGGCCGTAACACTTGTATCAGAAATACCGCTAAGACAGCAATAGCAGTAACATCTATATCTGAAATACCGCTAGGACAGCAATGGCAGTAACACTTGTATCAGAAATACCGCTAAGACAGCAATAGCAGTAACATCTGTATCAGAAATACCGCTAACACAGCAAAAGCAGTAACATTTGTATCAGACATACCGCTAGGACAGTTACACTCAAACGAGCATAAATCATTGACTTTAAAATTACACCTTTGAAATAATAAACAACACAACACAGAGTTTAAAGAGGCTAGAGGGAGGATTTATAAGCCGTCTCCACTAACCGTTTATTTTCCCAACCATTCTGGTATCAATTTTTGTTAAGACAAAATCCCAAAAAAGCTTCCACATGATTTAGCGTAATAAATTTTCTAAGCAAATTCATCTGTTAAAATATGCCAAATACTTCGTGTAATTTACGATCCAATTTAACTGAATAAGAGAGTTTTGCAAAACGGAAGTTTTTGAAAATGTTCGAAAAGTCAGGTTGCTGCGAGCGGGATACCTAGCGGGAGGGGAGGGGGGGGGGGGGGGGGGGTTATTGTTAAAGGATAAATCCGGCTAAAGACCAGCGGCTCCTTCGAAATTTAGCGGTCTAAAATTTTATGTCATAATGGAAACGGGAAACGAAATTTTGAAATTATAAATAGGCAAAGGCAGAGATAATTTCTCCCTAAAATAAACAGAAAAATAATTCACAGTGAATCAAAACATGTCTCATCGATTTTTGAAAGCCCATCTCGCATATTTCGAGTTGTTGTTGATGTCGTATCACACTGTCGTATGTCGCTGCGCGCGTTGTTAAATGATGTACACGTTGTACAGCGTTCAACCGAACCTCCCCCCTACCCCCCCCCCCCCCCACCCAAACACCGAAAACAAAAGTAAAAGTTTGCCAAAGGTAATGTTTATCATATGCAATGTCACATCGTATTGTCACGATGCCACTTCGCTTGTCATTGTCGTTTTAAAGTACGACGGGCGACATTATTAATTGCACTAATAGGATACCACAGTCCTTTTATACATGTATAAATACCATATACAAAGGCAAGTTTTACGCAGACCGACGTCAGGGAAGACTAGTTCTAAAGTTACCTGAATACCTCTTTTTTATGCGGGAGCATAACAAAACATCATAAAAAACGCAGCTGTACTGCTGAGAACGATGTTGTTGATGTTGATGTTATTCCCAGTTTTATGTTCCTTCAGCCTATCTACGAAGACATGTTGGGTGAACATAGAATGGGAAGACCCTAGGTGACCCCTCCGGGCAATCTTCAGAGTCATAGGGACAAGTGGGTAGAACCACTGACGTTCTTAAAGTTAGCTGGTCTACCAAGTTTGTTCAAATAAAAGCCCTGGGGTCAAAATTGGCCCCGCCCCAGGGGGTCATTGATTTTTCCCTATATGCATATAGTAAAAACTTAAAAAAATCTTCTTTTAAAGAACCAAAAGAGCTAGAGCTAAGATATTTAGCATGAAACATCTTCTAATGAGTGTCTACCAAGTTTGTTCAAATAAATACCCTGGGGTCAAATTTTGGCCCCGCCCCAGGGGGTCATTGATTTTCCCTATATGTGTATAGTAAAAACTTAAAAAATCTTCTTTTAAAAAACTCAAAGAGCTAGAGCTAAGATATTTAGCATGAAACATGTTCTTATTGGTGTCTACCAAGTTTGTTCAAATAAAAGCCCTTGGATAAAATTGGCCCTGCCGGGGGTGGGGGAGGGCAGATCATTGTTTTCATTATAAGTGTGTACATCATGAAACATCTTCTTATGGGTGTCTGCCAAGTTTGTTCAAATAAAAGCCCTGGGGTTTAAACTGACCCCGCTCCGGGGGCCTACATACAGGTGAGCGACCTCAGGGCCATCATGGCCCTCTTGTTTGTTTAAAACATGGTTTAGATCAAAATCGTTTTGTTATATAACTGTATGAAGGTATCATGCTTCAAGTATTTCCACACGATTTTCCCAGTTTCGGTGAGATAGTGAGACCTTTAACAGCCTCATAAATTTGTGACACCGCCTTATGTTACGCATACATGTATACTTGCTGTACAATATATAGTGTTGATAAATAGTAACGGTCATTTTGTCCGAAATTAAAAAAACAAAACAAAAAAACTTTGTTCATATTTTTATTACATCCTATATAATGCTCTTATTCCGTAATATTTCTTTCGTTCTTTCTTGTCTAGGTATATGTTTGCTTTTTGAGCACCATATGAGAACAGTCTTTAATGCACCATTTTCTGTGTGAAAATGTCTGCAGCGAATGCATATTATCGAATGTATATAATCTGGGACACAAAGATCTTCCGTTCGAGATATTATATTATTATATACGTAAGTAGTGATACAAGTTTTTGTTGTTGTTGTTGTTGTTTTTCATTCTGAGTAGTATAGGAACGGGCGAACGGTAATGGTGATCATAAAGGGACAGATATTTCATAAAACTTGCAGAGAAAATTCTCTTCCACAGATAGAGTCATCGTGCTATAACTAAACACCATTTTCAAAATATCGTACACTAGCTGTACATAGTCAATATTAAAATAAATGTCAGATGTAGAGTGTCTTAAATGGAGATAAACTCTGTGTGTGTGTTGTTTTTTTTTTAGTAAAATGTACATGTAACAGAAATGGTCATGAATATGTTAATTGATATTTAACTATTTTTGTGGCAAGAAATAAAAAAAAATGTATGATTTTTTTTAGAGGAAGTATTCTGGTAAATAAAACTATTATAGGCACAGAAACAGCTAGTATAGGCCTACATAAACAGTGAACATGTATAGCTTAATTATATGTGAAGTATAAGCGTAATAGTGTTATATCCCTTCCGAGGGACATAACACTTAATTCATTATCTATTTTTTTGCATTGTATGAACAGAAATAAATTACATTTTATGACATGCAACTGGTTTTTATTTATTTTTATTTAGAATCTCGAAATTATTCATATATAGCATGCTACATTAAGAGACGTTTTTTTTTTCAAGTTAATTAACATCAAGTAGAATCTAAATATTTGATTAATTCGATCTGAATAGTTTGCATTTGATTTACAGAAAAAAAATGAAAAATTTGGAAAGGTTTTATTTCTGGATGGGTCATCTAGATTAATTATCATACTTTAAAGTGAAATGTATATTAGGCCTTGATATCTGACATAGGTTTTGTGTCAAGATTTAATTTAATATTTTAATTGTCTCATAAACGAAAAAATATGCGGATCTTTTATAAGAAATATTCGGTCTCTAATAGTAATCAAATTAACATACAGATATAGGCCTAATATGAGGTCACAAAAAATGCACTCTGCAGCCTCCGGGCGGAGGTGGGTGTGTCGTTTTAAAGTTCCCGGATGAAAGTAGGTGTGTCTTAGGTGGTGCAAAAATGGCCGACAGTGCAGAGGAAGAATCTTTGGACGGGATAGGAAATAAAAGTGAGTGCATTACTGCCGTCTTTTAAAGATCAAACCTTGCTTTTCTTGTAATAGCATACATATAGATCTATGAGAGTGTTATTGATTATTGCTTATCGAAAATAAAAGGGAGCTAATTACGTCAAACTTATTTAAACTTGGGGTGCTCGTAGTGGGTGGGGTGTAATATTTCCATAACAATAATATAAAATTGTTATTCACTTCTTTAAGCTTTTCAACGTTTTGTTCTTAAAAGCTGGTTCTTTTAAAACTCGTTACTCAGCACATAGGCAATGTTGACTATTCCCTGTCATTGGGCAAAGTAGCACAAATTTATTCTGCTGTTGATCAGCTGTTTAACAGACAGCAAGGGTTACGTCTTTTCGCCCACAATATGTTCGTAACATGTTTATCAAACACGTTGATTTCAATATTGTAGGAGTGATGGCATCAGAAGAAACTGATAAAAATTGTTTAAAGGCTGAAACAAGCAGGTGAGTATTGCAACTGTATAACTATAAACAGTTAAAGTTAAACTGATTATTGTACCTTGTATGAATGTTTTGACCCATCTTTTGAATTTGATCACAAAGATCTTCACTAAGTTAAGAATAACTTATTTTTATTGAGTTTGCTGGACCAATGCAATACTTCAGATCATTCACCCACTCATTTAATGATTTATTTCAGAATAATCATTTTTATTGTGCAAAATGACACAAAAATTTAAAAGTGCTTAAATGCGTCTAACTTCCATTAGGTGTAACAAATGCATCAGAAATTATAGTATCCAATTTAATTCTGACTGAGTATTCTTTCTTATTCTCTTTTTCAATTCTTTGGGTTTTAACTTAAGAGTCCCAGTTAGTCTATATAAGAAGGCTATTGGATTTCTTTTGGACCTTAGTAGAGTACCTTTAATAAAAAAAAAACAAAAAAAAAAATAAAACAAAAACTAAAAAACACAACTAGTAAATGAAAATGGAAGAAAAAAGCAAAAATTATTATTTTTAAGGCAGATCAGATGTTTCTCTATATACTTTTTTTTTGCAGTTTATTTGCTTCAGCATTGAAAATGTGTAAAATTAAGGCAAAACTGAAAATTGATGTTATTTTTACCCTTGTGCACCCTTTTGATACATCATGTGATCTACAATTATGTTAAATAAATATATTTTTGCTACAGTCAGTCAAGCTTTTTTTCCACTTGTTGACTGTAGATTAACAAGTGTTCGTTTAGAGGAAAATTTTTAATTCAGGTATAAAAAATAAGAATATTTAATTATGCAAGTATATGTCACCTAAACCATACTGGACAGGAACCAGTTTCCGGACAGAATTCGAGTTTTTTTAATTGTCTATTTTTCAATAATAAACATGCATTAATAAAACTAACATACCAAAAACCTGAGCTCTAACTTCATCCGATAACACAATTAATACTGCCTGGTGACGTAAGCAATGTACAAACTGAAGGGTTAAATTAGGTCATTAAAAGTGTAAATTGTTCACTCTTGCAGAACCAGTTTCCGGCCATTTATAAAGCTGCTATTCATTTCTTTTTTTAACTGATAATTATTTTAATATAACAAAAAATTTCTTCTCACATATTAGCTTTCTTATATAATTAAGCTGATTTACTGAAAAATGTTTATGATAGGAAAAATAATGATCACATGATGGGTCTCGGAATGACTGAAAAGTGAAACGGATATTTTTGTGTGTACGGCAGCAAAGAAGTGCGAACGTGGAGTAAACCTAGCTAAACACCCTTTTCCGATACGTTACAGATTAAGCTCTGGAAAGTTACACCCAATGAACTTCGATTGAAGTACATTGTGCATTAATTGCTATCCCAAATTATATCCTGAAATAAACAAAATATTGCGCATGCGCAGAACAAATTACATGCCCCAAAGGTATATAAGGCTGTTTTTAAAACACAGGTAAGATATCCTCACGGAATTTTAATGATGTATCAACTTGGAAGGAAGTTTATTTTCACAAACAATGAAACCAAGCTTCTTCATGACATTTAATACCAATCGTCATCGATAAAGCCAAAATTAAGCCGTTATAATACTTGTCCGGAAACTGGTATTGTCCGGAAACTGGTTCCTACCCAGTAGAGATCATTAATCATTCCCATTAATAAATTGATAATTTTATGGCTTTAATGATATTCTAACCTTTAATATGTAGTATTTGAAGCAGACCAAGACCAATGTTGAGTCAAGCTGCCATTATCTGAACCACGTCTTAGTCTGTGTCCAGAATCAACACTTGTGGCCGCACATTTTGTATGCATACATACCACCTGGCTGTAAGAACATGTTGCACTTTGTAATATGAGATAGTTGCAATATGCATCCAGGTATACAGGTACCTAACAGAATGTCAGTCGATCTACTCAGGAGCCCACTCATGTCATCATATAACAGGTCCATGACCAACAATTGTTTGTAATGTCGTCCTACCTGAACTTTTGTCATCAAATACTGTTGTGGTGCCATACTTAAACCCCATTTGACCATATGAAGAGAAATGCTTTTCCACAGGATAAAAGTGAACATAATTTGTTTAAAATATATATGAATTTCATGTAATTTGATGGAAAAATGAGTTTTTTTAAAGAAGAATATGACTTTTGTGAATTTATCAATATTTATTACTAATGGTACTTTATATAAGAATTGTTAATAGAATAGGATTGTATAAAGTTTAATAAATTTTTTACTGTTCTCACCACAATCTGATTGTTTTCATATAAAACCATTTATCATTAAATATAAGTTTGTCTAGCACTTATTTCAAGGATTGTTTATTGACGTAACTGTACTCTGTTTAGTGAAATTTCAAGACAAAAATTATTTCCTGAATTTTAAGTATTTTATCAGCTTTTTACTGCTGAAATCCAAGCCTCACTGCTGTGGGTCCAAATCCCGACAGGGACTTAGATTTTTTTCATGTGAGGAAACTATCCAGCTTGCTCATGAAACGTCGGTGGCTCTGCACAGAAGGGCACCTGTGTTCTTCCACCACCAGTAAAGCTGGAACGTCGCCATATGACCTTTACCGTGTTGGTGAGATGTAAATCCAAACAGAAAAATAAAAGTAAAAAAGACGACAGCTTGGTGAATAAATAAAAATCTTTTTATGGAACCAAATGATTTCCATGTATTTTAAGGATTGATAGAGTAACACTTTGTATATTTTGAAACCATCCAAATTTCTTGAATTATTTCAGCAGTAATTTCATTTTGGTCTTACAAATATGGAAAATGCACATAGGTATGCAGAATCTCACATAGGTGTGCAGAATCTACTCCTCTCAGCAATGAAAAAGATGTTGGTCAGTTATGCTAATATTTGATACATTGTCATATTAAACAAGATTATGGAAATTGTGCCAAGTTTGCATAAAGGATTATGGTCATGAAACTGAAAATGTTATATTTTTAACACTTTAAACCCTCATGGTATTAAGATAATTATGTCAATTATTTGGCTCAGACTTTTAGAATTGCTCACTGTCCTTTATCTGCCAAACAGTGTACATACATACATACATATTTTAGTTTGAAACAACTCTTCTATTAACTCTAGGCCATTAATGATAAAGATTTATAGGGGGGATAATCATATCAATAAAAGATTTTTTTCTTCTTTGTTTATTTTTAGGGTTAGATGTAGAAAACTAAAGAATCCACGGAGAGGGATACAGGTATGATTAATTTCATGATTAATTATAAAGTTTACAACATTACTATTTTATTCTATACCTGTAGATATATTTTGCCGTATTTACTACATGTATCACATACAGCTCTTATGACCTGAGGGAAAGAAAATTTGAGCCCTGCCATGACAAAACCAACATAGTTTGTTTGGGACCAGCATGGATCCAGACCAACCTGCGCATCCTTGCAGTCTGATCAGGATCCATGCTGTTCGCCATCAGTTTCTCTATTTGTAATATTATAGGGTTTGTAAGCGACCAGCATGGATCCTGATCAGATTGCGCCAATGCGCAGGCTTGTCTGGATCCATGCTTGTCGCAAGCGCAATATGTTGGTTTTGTCATGGCGCGGCTCATATTTTTGTATTATATATATAGGGTTGTGTTTTGCCAGGCACGATCGGAGATGATACTTTTTGCAATATGGAAGATCTTTTTTCTGCATTTCATGGATTTTACTGAAATCATACTTTGTGTAGAAATGCCTTTTGAGATCCTGGTCTAACTAAAATCTATTCTAGTCAAAAACCAAATCCAGATATTCATGACAATCGTCTAATACAGCTGTTATTATGATGATGATTATTGTATTGTCAACATAAAGTCAGTTCAAATGTGTTAAATACTTCATTGTTCCTTATGTAACATGTATTCTTGTCAGTTTTAGGTTGTTTTTGTTTTTTTGCTATATTTTATTGCAATGAAAATCTTGAAATTATTGAAACTATGAATTTACGGTACAAATAATTATTATTAGCTGTAACTTTAAAATAATTCTTTTTTCTATTACACAAGAAAACAACAACATAAATAATCAAAAGCAGATTTAATTGGACAAACATAAAACCATGTGTCGCCCTATTTTAACACCTAAAGTCATCATTTAAAATGCAGTAATTTTCTTAAAACTCGCAAATTTTTGCTAGTAGCAGATAAGTACATATGGACTACTGTTGCACTATTTGGGGAAACTGCAGTCGTGAATTACTTTCACAAATTGTCAACTTTCAAAAAAGAGCTGCAAGAATTGTTTTAGACAAAAGTTTTGATACCCCATCAAATGTTCTATTTAAAGAATAAAATTGGATGTCCTTTGACCAAAGAATTATTTAATGAAAAGGCAATCTTCATGTATAAATCTATAAATGAACCATCCTTTCCTGTTTATATGAAAAATAAATTACAAACAGTAAATTACAAACATGACATTTACTTAAGATCTATACAGAATGGAAAACTAACTGTACATGTACCTAAGACAAAAACAATTTTTTAAAAAATCATTTAATTACTCTGGTCCTGTGGTATGGAACAACACACCAATACATATTCGAAATTCTGATACTCTTGGGGAATTTTTTAAATTTCAAGCCTCCTATATCCAGTGGCAATTTTCTAACTAGTTGTTTGTACATACTGTTTCCAAAAACAATAATTTAATGTATAATATAAAAAGTATAATAAAGACTGATAATAGAACAGCCCTATAAATGTCTTATTCTTCAATGTTGGTACTTTCCATCTTTCCATGCTGAAGTAATGAAAATATCACTTTTCTATGTAAGAAAAAAAGATTGTTTACTTATTTATTGTATTGATATGATGTTTAATGTACATATTTATGTTGTCTAAATGTTGATTGTGATTGTATTTTATGTTGTTTTGTATATACTGATGCCGAATGGAAGATCGGGAAATTGAATGTGTTATTCTCATTAAATAAAGTTGTTACTTACTTTACTTTACTTTACTTACTTTGAGAAAGGAAATTTCACGAAAGTGTCATCTGCAAAGGCAATACATGCTAAACTGCAATACACAGTAAACATTAATACAGATATACAGTTATATGCATTAGCATCATTTAGTATATTGGTAAATATTATGTTGAAAAATTGCAATTTCCGTTTGTTTTTAGCTCACCTTGCACAAAGTGCAGGTGAGCTTTTAGGATGGCCAACCAAATGGCGTCCGTCGTCGGTCGTCCGTCCACATTTTAAATATTCTAAGGACATCTTCTATGATACCGCAAGGCCCAATGTTAATGAAACTTGGCAGGAATACTCTTTGTATGAAGCTCTATCAAGATTGTTTCAAAGAATTCCATTTCATGCAGAACTCTGGTTGCCATGGCAACCGAAAGAAAAATCTTTAAATATCTTCTTTTAAAGAACCGTAAGAGCTAAGAGCTTAGATATTTGGCATGAAACATCTTCTAATGAGTGTCTACCAAGTTTGTTTCAAATAAAAAGCCCTAGGGTCAAAATTGGCCCGGCCCCAGGGGGTCATTGATATTCCCTATATGCATATAGTAATAAAAACTTAAAAAATCTTCTTTTAAAGAACCCAAAGAGCTAGAGCTAAGATATTTGGCATGAAACATCTTCTAGTGAGTGTCTACCAAGTTTGTTCAAATAAAAAGCCCTGGGGTCAAAATTGGCCCCGGCCCGGGGGTCATTGATTTTCCCTATATGCATATAGTAAAAAACTTAAAAAATCTTCTTTTAAAGAACTGTAAAAGTTAGTTAGAGCTTAGATATTTGGCATGAAAACATCTTCTAGTGAATTGTCTACCAAGTTTGTTCAAATAAAAGCCCTGGGGTCAAAATTTGGCCCCGCCCCATGGGGTCATTGATTTTCCCTATATGCATATAGTAAAAACTTAAAAATCTTCTTTTAAAGAACCCAAAGAGCTAGAGCTAAGATATTTGGCATGAAACATCTTCTAATGAGTGTCTACCAAGTTTGTTTCAAATTAAAGCCCTGGGGTCAAAATTGGCCCCGCCCCATGGGGTATTGATTTTCCCTTATATGCATATAGTAAAAACTTAAAAAAATCTTCTTTTAAAGAACTCAAAGAGCTAGAGCTAAGATATTTAGCATGAAACATGTTCTAATGGTGTCTACCAAGTATGTTCAAAATAAAAGCCCTGGGGTCAAACTGGCCCGCCCCGGGGGTTATTGATTTTCCTTATATGTGTATAGCAAAAACTTAAAAATCTTCTTTGAAAAAACCCAAATAGCTTGAGTTTAGATATTATACATGAAACATTTTTTAGTAAATATCTACAAAGTTTGTTCAAATATAAAAGCCCGGGGGTCAAAACTGGGCCCTGCCCCAGGGGTGTCATTGTTTTTTAACTATATGTGTATAGTTAAAACTTAAAAAATCTTCTTTTAAAAAACCCGATGAGCTAGAACTTAGATGTTTAGCATGAAACATCTTCTTATGGGTGTCTACCAAGTCTGTTCAAATTAAAAAGCCCCTTGGGTAAAAAAAAATTGGCCCGGGGGGGGGGGGGGGGCTATATACAGGTGAGCGACCTCAGGGCCATCATGGCCCTCTTGTTTACAAGTTAGAATCTTTTGTACTCACAAAAATTTGCAATAGAAAAAATATGTGTATTTATCTTTTGGCAATATAATTATTCTTTCATTTAACAAGAACAATAAGAAACCGATGACCATTCCATACACTCGTGATTTTAACAGATCATAAGGACTATATTTATATTTACAAAAATGAGTAAAATGTTGTTCTATTCACTGAAACTGTCTCTGATATAAAATATTTATCGCAGGATTTCATTTTCTCAGAGTATGAATATAATGGGTCATTTTTGTCCATTGTTGACAACGACCACATATATGAGCCGCGTCACGACAAACCAACATAATGGGTTTGCGAACCAGCATGAGATCGAGACCAGCCTGAGCATTCAAACGCAGCCTGAATCAGGAT